ACTGACAATATATGAGGGTTCCTTTTTCCCCACAGCCTCTCCAACACTTGTTATTACTTATCTCATTGATAATAGCCATTCTAGTGGCTATCAATGGGATAGGGGGGAGGAGGGGAGGTAGTTAAGGGGAAAGGGGGTCATTGATAGTAGCCATTCTTACTGGTGAGAGGTGATATCTCATTGTGGTTTTGATCTGCATTTCCCTAATAGCTAGTGAAGTTGAGCATCTTTTCATATATCTGGTAGTCATTTGTATGTCTTCTTGGGAGAAATGTCTGTTCAGGTCATCTGCCCATTTTTTAAATGGATTGTTTGGTTTTTTTGTTGTTGTTGAGTTGTATAAGTTCTTTATATATTTTGGATGTTAACCTCTTATCAGAGGTGCTAATTACAAATATCTTTTCCCTTTGATCAGTTGCCTTTTTGTTTTGTTGATGATTTCTTTTGTTATGCAGATTTTTTTTAGTTTGATATAGTCCCTGTCTTTGATTTATGCTTTTGTTTCACTTGTCTTTGAGGTCAAATTCTCATTTAACATGATATAACACTTATTTATGATGAATATACTTAATGAAATGGTGATCATTAGTTTCATTGTAGCATTTTATATTTAATAAAGTTTTGAAATTTCTCAATTTATTTTCCAAAGTAAAAGATTTATAAATTGACTTATATTTTCTTTTGGCATACTCTTTTTTTAAAATAGAGCTATGATAAAATCTGTTTGTTTGCTTGTTTGTTTTGTAGTAAAGCTTTTTGTTTGTGCTTGTTAATCTCATATTAGATAGACCATGAAACATTATCAGAAAGACTGTATAGAGAGTTCAAATTTAATTTTCAAATGTCTTGCTATTTATTTCCCCTGATTTTTTTATTAAACTTAGAAATTGAGGGACAAGTAAGCATCTTTTACATTATTCATATTCAAAACTTTTTGTAATAATGAAAAAATGCAATTATTTATTTTAACATGAATAGTCTACTTTAAAATTGTAAAAATATATTTGAGAATGTTTAAATGAAAAGATAGGCAGAACTCTTTGTGGAGCAAGGTGGAACAAATTCATCAAGAAATGAAAGAAACACTGAGGTAAATACTCTAAAAATAGGAATAAAAGCAATTTTTTAAAAGTTTATGTTCAAAAGGATTTTTAAAAAATGTTATATATTCTACTTTAATTTTAAATTTTTATTTTTCAAAAAGATTTTCTAGTGAATCTGTAAACCAAGTGGCAAAAATTATAACAGATGAGAAAATGAACAATAATTAAAATTTAAAATGAATATAAGGTTAATCGTACTTCATCAATCTGTGTTCTTAAAATATTTAATCAGATTATCTCTTGTCAATAACCTGTTCAGTTAACTATATTAAAATAAGATTTGTATTCTTAAATATTCTAGTAGTTTCTTGATAAAATATTTCAAAACGCCTGGTTTAGTTTCTGATAAGCATCTTATTTCAATGATACAACAAAAATTCTATATTTAGATACTTTCATTTAGCTATCAGTAAAAAGAAAAGTATAGCATTCATTAAAAAGACATTCATACATATACTTTCTGAGTGGCAGGCACTTCCACTTAGGATTATGAGATGCAAAGATGAATTAGAAAATAGTCCTGCTCCCAATGAATTACAGTCAAGTGCAAAAAGTAGAAAGTGATGTCTTGAAACATGCAGTACCTGAGAAGCTAAATGGCTGCAAATTACTCATAGAGAAGATGGCAATAATATAGTTACAGCAATTATTCATCTTGATCATTTAAATTGTACCAAGCACCGCGTTTTCCCAGCCATCCTATTCAGCATGTCCTATTTTCCTCATTTTACACATAAGAAACTAAGCCCTAGTTTTATTTTCCCAAGCTCATATAGCCAGTGTAATTGAGACACATAAATATTATAATATGCCCAAATAAATGCAATAGTAAAAAAAGTAAAATATGCTACTGAAAATATAGATGGAAGCAGCACTCCCTAGAGGAATCAGAATAGCTTTCAGAAAAGTAATCATTTAAACTGAAGTTTGATTTCTTTATTCAGTATTTTATACACACACACACACACACATACACGTGTGTGTGTGTATTTTTTCAGTGTGTGTGTGTGTGCACATATGCATGTGTTGACGCACGTGTGAGCACCATAGTATAGTTCAGGAGTGGATGTCGTTTGGCCAACACACAAGGAACTTTTTAAGGTAAAACAATCCATCTGTGCAAAAAATTGGAATCATGAAGAAACATAGATTGTTCAGAAAAAACTAGATAATGTGGTTTGGGGGAACTAAATATAGGGCAAGAAGTGGAATGGTAAACTGGGATCACATTGAGAACACTTAATAGACTTAACATGCATCTTCTGGCAGGAGGAAGCTATCAGTCCTTTTAGAACTATTGCTGGAGTAAAAACATGAGACATGAGAGCCTGAAATTGTGCAAGCCTGAAATTGTGCAGCATCAGCTCGATAGTCACTGAACTGAGAAATATTGCAGAGATAGAATGCAGAAGTCTTGCTAATGGACTGGAAATAGGGAACAAGGGGAGAGATAAAATAATTGAAGAGGATACTGAGATTTTTTTAGCTCAGTCCAATCCATAGATGGTGACGCCCTTACCAGGAAAAAAAGAACAAGTATGGTAGCCAGAAGAGAGTTGAGAGGATGGGAGCTGAGAGAAAAAACTTAAATTTGGTTTGTATTGATTGAATGTAATGTAACTAAGTAGAACAAGAGAGTTAAAAATAATGAGTTTGTTATTTAATTTGATTTGAATGCTGAAGGAGTTAGGATTTATAACAACAAAATTATTTTAAATCATAAATTGCTTAAACATTTTAATAATAAGTAAGCTTCTAGTAAAAACTTATTACATTTTTTTTATTCAAAATCAATATCGAAAGCTAATTTTCCCTTCAAATAAAGGGCTCAAATTGTACATGTGTTTTGTTACGATTTTTATTGTATAGGACACAATTTATATCTTTTCCACATAAATGAAAGTAAGAACAAATAATTTCAGAGTTCATTTTATAGTATCGAGGAATACATGATTAGTCATTATATCAGCAATTATGAAGAAAAGAACAAAACAATTATTTTTTGAGGTAATAATATTTATTTTCCAAAATATTTTATAAGTAAAGGAAAATAAATTTAAAAATATGTCAATTATTATATAATGCAAGTTTTTCTTATTTTGAACTCATGCCTTCTTTAATATAGAATATTTCAGAGTATAACTTTAAAAATACTAAAAGAAACGTTTTGCTTTTCTTCAATTCAGTTTCTTAATTTTTAAATAGATATTATTTCATGATATTTGGCACCACTTTTTAAATTAAGAGTGAACTTGGTTCTAGTTAACTCTTAATTCTGGCAAATTCTAACAATAATAAAATAATAATAAAACCTCTATAAAGGTCTTAATAATTCAAACTATGTTGTATGTCACTTCATAGCATTATTAAATTGTTGTTTCTACACAAAGTTGTATTTTATTGATTAGAATAATTTTGAATTATATCAATTTTTACTTAACTATACAAATCCTAAAGGACATAGTGAAATATTAGGAATTATTAACATTGTACTGTGGTACCTTTTTTGATATCCTTATATGAAAAAATCAAACACAAAGCTTTCTTATTTGAACTATTTCTTTCCTCTTATTTTTTTTTGCACAAATCTAGAATAGCCTTATAAATAGATCAATATATCTGATGTTTTTCTCATTTATATTTTATCATTTGTTTTAAATATTGTCTTTAAGGGCTTTAAAGTGAAGATTTCTTTGTAGTTTCTAAAAACACAAGAGCCAACTTAAGGTATTTCAAGAAACAAAATCTCTGTTCTTTTTGCTTCTTGAAAGCACAGTTTGAAATACTGACATTAGTTGGCGAAAATGTGAGATTTGAGTATTTTTACCCCAACATTCGAAAATACTTTAGCTCTATTAAAAAAAAAAAGTGAGCCTTTAGTGCTGTTAAATGTTAACATGGGATCTAATTGAGAAGAAAAAGTTAAATCTAGCATTATTGGATTTTAAGGGGCTTTGGAGCTTCTTAGGACATCGTTAATTATTCAACTAATATTTTTGCATCCTTAGTATTCATTTACACAACAGAAAGGAACAGTTATTTAGGCTGCTAGAAAATCAAAGGGCTCACCTACTCCCCTGTATGATAGAGGCAATTATTTGATGATTTTCTCTTAATATTGGGCACCTGTGTGTATTAAAATTTCAAGAAGAGATCTTAGAAGTGTGTAAATGGTTTCCTCTGTCTCAGCTTTTAAGTATAATTGTAGTATGGGTTTCTGACTTTTGTTCTTTTAAAACAACTAGATGTAAATTTGCTGATTTTGCTCACTAAGAAAAACTCACAAAAGACGGTAAGTCAAATCTTCCATAGTCAGTTCTTCCAAGTAATAATGACTATCAGAAATCCAGTATAAATTTTTTATTATAAAGGAGCTGATGGAATAAGTAAAATGACATTGATTATTTAGTAAATATTATCCATATAAAGTTTCCATTATGCATCATCTTTAATTTTTAGGCATTAATTTAACCAAACTTGTGAGATATCCCTTTATTACTATTTAAAAGAAGATAAACTAGATTAATAATTTTGTTAATTTTTCCCTTTCATATAATATCTCTATGAATTTTCTACAGTTTTGAAGGAAATAGTACAGGTTATATTCATAATAATTTATTTTTTAAAATACCACATGGCTGTCCTGCTTTATTCATGCTTAACTAATGACATCTTAGGTAAGTAGTTTACTTTCAAACTGGTTCTTCTTAGACACACAGAATGTATCAGGCCTAACTTCTAATATTGTTAAAATGTTTAAATATTGGTTCTTCCCCTACTTCCCCTCCCCCCTCAAAGAAACAGGTAAAATTATACCTGGAAATAAATGAGTTATAAATTAAAATGTAAATGAACTTTGATTTATGTTTTCAATCATTTTCTTGCTTTTAGGGATAATATTTTATACAGTAGAGTGTAATCTAGCCAGTGTGACTAGCCTTGTTTGTTCCAAAGATTAAATTACATTATTGTAATTACAGATATAATCGATTTTACTCCCTATTGATTAATTTTAGCTTTCCATTGTCCTTTTTTCCTACATTTTTTTTCTTTTAAAATTTTATTAGGGATAGATGTTTTTCAACCACATGTATCTCTGGCATATTTGAGAAGTAGTACACTCTGTTTTATTAAATAAAGGCTACATAGAAATTTTAACACAATACATACCTAAAATAAATCAACGTCCCTTCCACCTTGAACATTATTATTCTGTGGACATTTAACTACAGTCATTCCCCTTCCAATCTATATATTATTGGTGTTTATTTTATTTCTTTAACCACATATAATGAATGATGCAATTATTGTGCTGAAGAGTCCATGTTATACAGTTATTCACGTATTTAATACTTTCTTTTCTTGTCCATTTTCTCCTGAATCTTAGACCTTCCATCTGGAATCACATTTCTTTCACTTGAAGTACATGATTTAGAACTTTCCATAGGTATGATTCTATGGCAAACTGATTCAGCAATTGAAAAAGTGTGAATTTTAGTCTTGTTTCTGAAAGACATTTCTATCGGTACTAGAATCTTAAATGCAGTTATTTTCTCTTCTTACTTTGAAGATATTATTTCCCTAGCATCTATCACTTAATGTTGCTGTTAGGAAGTCAATTGTCAGTCTACTACTTCTAATACTCAGTTTTTGGTATGGGGACAGGTGTTTTTCTGCAGTAGCTACATGATATATGGGTTCCAGGTATGGATTACTTTTTTTTTTTTTTACTCTATTTGTAGTTTATTGGACTAGAATCTGTGGATAGCTGTCTTTTATTAGTTTTGGAAAATTTTGTTCCATTCTCCCTTCTCTTTGAAACTCTGGTTAGATGTTTGCTAAACTTTCTCACTTTAAGTTCTGTCCAAACTTGCTTTTAGATTTTTTATCTTTTTAACTGTGAAGAATTCTGTATCATTTCTTTTGCCCTGTTATTCAGTTCACTAATTCTTTCATCAGTTCTGCCTAATCTACTAACAACTTCATCTCTGAGTTTTTAATTTCAATTATATATTTTGTACTTCTAGAAGATAGTTTTTATTTATGTCTTTCATTCTTTATTCATATTTTAGACCTTTGTTATTTGTTAAAATATATTTAACATATTTGCTTTATCTCCTTGTCTGCTAAATCAAATATTGAAAACCTTTGTGAGAATGACTGCTTTTTTTTTTTTTTTGTCTCAACAGACTCTTTTTCATGATAGTTTGTTTTTCGTTCATTAGGAGAATTTTTTTATTCTTACTTTTCATCTTTCTTGGAACTTATAAGTCAGAATTATTTGAGTCTTTGAAAAATACTTGCTTCTGTGAGGATGTTAAGTCATTATCAGTCAAAGATCACTTTTCTCAGATCCTCAATTGTATTGTTTCTTTTCCCTAGGTAGAGTTCAGGACCATTAGATGTACAAATTCAGAATATCATGGTTTCTCCCTGAGTTGAAGAAATTGAAGGTATGTGAATAAAGGAAACCCACTCTAATAATGAGAGCTTGTGTTTGGTTATGAATTTTCAAGGAAATTTTTCTCCTCTACACTCTATATCAAGGGTTAAGCTAGGCAATTTTCTTTGCAGTTTCGGGGTTATTGAGGCAGTCATGGCTGGAAAGGAGAGATGAATTTTTCATTCGCTCTCATAGTGAGAATTTACTATTCTGGGGAGGAAAACCTTTTCAGACTTACTTCCATGAGTAAGCCTTGGGTCTTGCCTCCTGTTTTCTGAGCCACTCTAGACCTCATAGATCAAATTTTAAGTTCACTTAGATCAGCAAAAATTCTCTAAGTAGAAGCCATCATCACTAAGATTTTCGTAATTTTGCCTTCACTTAGTTTTCTGACCTGGTTATTTATTATTGTCTTTCTGCCTCCTTGACATTTCTAGGAAGAGTTTGTAAAAGACATTTTATCTAGTATTTAATGTTGTTTTCATTGGAATTTTTGTCCTGGTACTTAGTCTGACATATTCAATGTAGTGGTTTTAGAGTGAGATCTAGCCAACTGTGCTATCAACTATCTGTGTGTTTATGAGCAAATTACTAATCTTTCTCTGCCTCAATTTTTTTGCTTAATAAACAATAATAAAATTTACTCAATAAAAGATTGTCATACGGTGATGTATATATTTATGTAACACCTAGAAAACAAAAAGCATTCGATACATGTTAGCTTGCAGCATCAGCAATAACATCATACAAATAATACAAATGGACTTTGCGGTTTAAAGAGCACCGGACTGGTAATTGATCTGAGACTGAGCCAGCCTCAGTCATTGACTTTAACAGATTCAATGGCATGATAGTGGCAGAATTCCAGTTGTAGTTAAGTTTGTGAAGTGAAAAATTTGAGGCAATGATTGTAGGAATATTTTCTAAGGAACATAACTGTGAAAAATAGATATGAAAATTGTGGAGATAGTGTCAGAAGTTAATATTAGAGTAAAAGAAAAGTTGTTTTGTTTTAATGAGAGAAAGATAGATGTCCTATAGTCTGTAGAGAAAAAGGTGTGAAGTACAGAGAAAGACAGAGCTGATGAAGCATTAAACATTGAAGATATGGGAGAGATTCAGATGAAGGCAAAAGAACCTTCAGAACAGAAGAGTCAGTTTGTTCCTCTGAGGTTTAAAGAAAGAGAATAAGTACAGATGTAAGTGCTTTTATAGTTATAGGTTGAGAAGTTGAGATATTTCACACTGATATCCTCAATTTTATGTGAATTACAACTTCACTGGAGGAAAATGGAAAAAAAATATGAGAGTTGAAGAAAAGTGTGAACTTTCAGAGCAAGACAAAGAACATAGAACACAATTTTTCCAAATAAATAAAAGCACAGTAGCACTCAGAGTTCATGGACTTACAGTAGTATTAATCTGCCTGATTATTTAATTTCTTTTGTTACTCTTCCATCACCCAAGAGTAGGTTGGTGGATAAATTGATTCAAGAGGAGGAATTTCTAGGTGTGGAAGGAGAAAAGAAATGGGAACAAGGTGACTGTGAAATCTGTGATGGAGAGGGAAGGGACATAAGCCCTGAAGCAGAGAGAGCAGAGAAGGTTTTTTGGAACTAAAAATTCACTGTTATTACAGAAGTGGTTGTAACTGAATAAGAAAATGATGAGAATTGAAAACTCATATTCAAAAAGATATTTGTACACCGATGTTCATAGCAGCATTATTCACAGTGGCCAGGACATGGAAGCAACAGAAGTGTCCTACAATATATGATTGGCAAAAGTAGCTATGGTACATATATACAATGGAATATTAATCAGCCATAAGAAGAGATGAAATACTGCCATTTGTGACAACATGGATAGACCTCGAAATAATCATGCTAAGTGAAATAAGCCAGACAAAAAAAAGTTGAAAATCACATGATATCACTTATATGTGAGATATAAACCTAAAAGCAACAAATGAGTAGGACAAACAAACAGAGACTCATGGCTAGTGGTTACCAGAGGACTATAGACTAGTGGTTACTAGTAGGGTGGGGAAGAAGCGGGGAGGTAGACTGGATAAACAGGGACAAATATGAGGTTTAGGGGGAGGGCGAAGTGGGTAAAGGGGATCAAATATATGGTAGTTGAAGGAAACAATAGATGTCAAATACAGATGTCAAATGACAATGTATATCTGGAAATTATATAATTGTATGAACCAATGTCACCCTAATAAACATAATTAAAAAGTAAGAAAAAAAAAGAAAGTGATGAGAAGTTGTGGTCAGAAATTTATACATTAGAGTTTATGCCTACAGAGCTGGAGTGTTTTCTTAGAAACAATATCTCCAAAAAACAAAAGACTAAAGTGTAGTTACAGAATTGAATTGATGCAGTAAGTCATTTCAAAGATTAAAGTGTTTTCATGCTTAGGAATTTGAAATGGGTTACTGGGTGTGACATCTACATAAATATTGAAATTCATACAAAATGAAGGTGAAGTTAAAGAGGTAGACTAAGAGCTAGATACCTACATCCTCATTATATTCAGCAACAAGGAAGGGTAAAATGTATACTACATATAAATTCATGGACTTTGATTGAGATAACATTTGTGCATGGTTGATCCAAAAGTGACTAGGAAGCAATAGGACAACAGGAAAAGGAAAAAAATATATGTGTGTGTGTGTGTGTGTGTGTGTGCGCGCGCGCGCGCGCACGCGCATGTATATATATATGTGTATATATGTGTGTGTATGTGTGGGTGTGTGTGTATTAGGAGAGCAAAGTACATGCATCTTGAGCTGAATAATAAAAAATTGATTAACACATTATATTAAGGAATTTACAATCTTATGATAATGTCCTAAGTAATAAGAGTTTTACTTGGTTTTGTGCTTAATTTTGCATATTCCTTGGAAAATGTCTAGGTAGAAAATATTATTTTTTAATTTTATAATAAAAATTACATAATTATGACCTTATACTGTACTTGGCTATATATCTTAAAATAATATTTGTTGATCAATATTCTTCTCATTTTATAAGGAAACCTGAAACTCCAAGTGACTGTTTAAAAATCATACCTGACTTTTGAGTCCACCTCTTTCCAAACCACAATACAAAAAACAAACAAGTAAAATTAAAATATTAAAAGTACAAAACAAATAGATACAATGCACTCTGCACTGAAACTTTCTCACTTTGTTCTCATCTTGAACCAGATTTAAAACTGTGTTCTTAATTTTGTTGTCATTATTTTTTGCAACTTGGTATGTATTTAAATGAATCATATTTTGTCATGATTTATAAAAAGAACATTGTTAACTGTGCATGATTATAAGATACACCTCCAACATTTATCACTCACATCTTTTATATAGGTTTCAGTCTTAAATCCATTGTTCATTAAAAATTAAATAGACTCCACATTAAACTCGAAAATTCTAAAAGTATAATACCTATTAGAATTTTTCTCGTTCACTGTTTAAGTTACTAGTATTTCACTATACATACATACTTGGGAGAGAGTAGGGAGATTTGAAAGAATGCTAATGATTCTGTCAACCATCCTCAATAAGTGTTTTCTGAAATGAGAACTTTTAGATTTCAGAGGATCAAGCCCCTTCAAAGCAATAGAAATTTAAAGTGGAGTCATTACTAACAACAGGTAGAGTTTTGTATTTTTGGAAAAAAGGGTCCAGCAAACATGATTTTTTAAAATCTTATATCTCATTTTTGACAATTCGCTCCAAATGTGCTATGAAAAATTATAAAAAAATAGATATCCCTGACATAATTATTCATCCTATACTTAAAATTTTACATTAAACGATTTCTGTTTCAGGAAACTTATGTTTAAAAGAGCACCTTAATCTGTTAAAATAAGATATAGCCATTTTGTGGTTATCATAATTTAATAAATTAGCATTACTCTAAAGTGAAATTACTCATTTATTGAAATTGTAAGTTAATAACTAAGAACTATGCAAAGAAGTTTAATGTGCCAAACAATCACGTTGATTCTATTATAACCACCGTTTCTTTTCCAAATGTGATTATGTTGTGTTACTGGGTCTATTTTAAAATATAAAAGTTTAGAATCTCACAACACAAAATTACGTAAAAGAAGTTAGAGAGAAAACAGAACAGATATTATGACCTCATCAATATAAAGTTTAAAAATATGTATAACTAATCTACAGTGTTTGAAATTAGGATAGTGGTTTCCTCGGGGAGCTGGATATGACTGGAAGGGCATGAAAAACATTCTGAGATGCTGGCAATGTATTTCTTGATGCAGATGCTTGTCTCATGGATGTGTATATTTTGCAAAATTTTATTGAGCTGTACATTTAAGATTTTTTGCATTTTTTTGGTGCATGTTTATTGTACCTCAATAAATTTTGCATTAACAATAAAAAGTTTATTTTAGGGGAAATGCCTGTGTTAATCATAAGTTAAAAGACAATATTGAACCAAATTTTTTTTAATTGGTTAACAGAATTCAATAAGTTTCATCTGTACACTTTAACAGTAAGGCATATACATATTTACACTATGTGTTCACATTCCACACATTTCTTTCTGTCACTACATATTTGACCCCTTTTACCTCATCTACTTTCCTCCTACCCTCCTTATCCTCTGTTAACAACTAGTTTATAGTGCATGCCCATGAGTCTCTATTTGTCCTGTTCGTTTGTTGCTTTTAGGTTTATATCCCACATGTAAGTGATATCATGTAGTTTTCAACTTTTCCTGTCTAACTTATTTCGCTTAGCATGATTATCTCTTGGTCCATCCATATTGTCGCAAATGGCAGTATTTCATCACTTCTTATGGCTGATTAATATTCCATTGTATATATGTACCACAGCTTCTTTAGCCAATTATCTATCGTGAAACACTTCTGTTGCTCCCATGTCATGGCCACTATAAATAATAATGCTATGAACATTGGTGAGCAAATATCTTTTCAGATACGGGTTTTCTAGTCTTTGGGGTAAATACCCA